TGTTGCGAACCTCTCGCCTTGATTTCATGTGATTTGAACTTGATCGAAAACCCAGCAGCTCCCCTTTGCAGGGTTAGCTTTTGCCTCTGCTTCGATTCATTTGGGTTTGCACCCAGAGTCTAACCCTTTAAATTCCAGGTTTGACAACAAGGCCCAAAAACTCAAACCCAAACCAGATGAAGCAGCTGAGTTTCATCTGGATTTGCATCAGAACCAAACCAAACTGGCTCCAGGTTTGTGCACTTAAGTGACTCTTCCCTCAAACCTTGTAGTGAAACTTTAGAACAGGGGAGTTTTGCTTGGTTTTGTGCTTGGCGACAAAAGTTTGGCACAGATCTCAATATGGCAATCTGGACCTGATGATTGCTGTCCCTAGTCCCCTCGGGACACAAGAAGCAGCGGCCTTGCCCTGAAGGAAGCCATTTTCTAACCTCACAGTTAGCGAATTACTCATTTACAACCTGCTTTTTCCCATGAAAAAAAAAAGTTGATTTCGACAAGCCCAGCTCCCCGCTGTCTGTACAGAGTTAAGCTCATTACGATGCCATTCTGGGTGAAATCATGGAACCCCCTGAGTAATCTCATCAGGCAGGGATAACAGCAAACAGCCCGTTCTCTAATTTCTTTCTCTGTTTTTCCTTGTCGTCTCTTTAAATGTAAAATATTTTTGGCTCTGCTAATCCCGGAGGATAAGGGCTCAGAGGAGCAGGATACCGACTGCCAAATATGGTGCTGATACTAAAGATGTTAGAGGAATGTGACTTGCTCTAAGCCTATGGACTCAGAATTTGCTGCCAAACAAATTAGGTCATTTAAACTTCGCAGGCTTTAAAGGATGTTGGAACTTTCATTTGGAACGAAAAACCTGGTGTTATTTTTGCTAAACGGCTCAGGGTCCTGGGGAATTTAGTTTGGCACTTTCTCTGTGTCCCAGAGCTGGATTGACTTCCGCCGTAATTTAGATGCGCCATTGTGCACACGAAGATATTACGTGTAATCTGTGTGGATGCTCACTCTCATGGCACGTTTGTTGGTGTGCGGATGTGGCCAACCAGCTGCAGGGCTGACTAGTTACACATACAAGGTGATTTGCATGCACGATTTCATATCTAACTTTTTGGAGGTGAGGCCCATTATATCCTGCTATGTAGCGTTTAGATGACAATGATGGTTGACAATAGCGGGAGGTGACCCAGCGGCAGCCTACAGGCAATGTGACCCATAGATTCTGCCGTGTGAGCCCTAGGCACCGTCCCCGTTAATAAAGAAGTGCTCCACAGAAACACAAGTCCCAGTGCTCTGTCTTGTTCGGAGCAGCCCAGCCCGTAGCAGTCGGATGGAGTTTTGTAGGAGTCCTCTCAGCAGCCACTCATGTAAATTGTTTCATTCATGCGAACTTGGGTAGGGCCTCGAGCTTCTGGCATCTTAGTGTGCCCCCAGTTTTACCTCGTGTGTCTCTCCCGCGTTCCTAATGTAATGGATGTACCGAGTCCCCAGCAGTCGAGGTGCAATAGGAGCTGCCATTCCACTCCAGAGCCGTTCCGGAGTTCGACAGGGGGAAGAATCGGGTTGGTTTGGAAGATAACAGTGACGCACAGTGCAGACACCTTCTCTGGCTGAGGGTCCCCAGTGTCAGCATCGCCTTAGGGCTGCCAAATCCTAGAGGCTACTCATGTGAGTTTTGTTAAAGCAAAGCGGCTGTCATCTGCACGGCGCCGTCACTGCCTCAGTATTGCTCCTTTTGCGCTCCCCCTGCCCTTCCTGGGGCTGGCGTGCAGTACTGGCCCAGCTGGGTAGCCGTCGGGTCAGTCCTGTACCCCTAGGAGCATCTTTCCAGCCAGCTATGGCAGCATTAGCCACTCACCCAGCTGACTGTTCCGCTCCGCCCCGCCCATTCGTTCGTTTCTCCTCTAAAGAGAGAGCCTTGCTTTGCTTTGGGGCTGCGACTCGGCACTTTATTTAACGTTTCTCACTGTGCCTGGACTCGGGGATTTCTTTGAAAGGCAATTTAAAAAGTGTGGGTTTGTGCGGAACAGCTCCTTCTTCCTCAGTCTGTCAGACGGTCTGAGAAGAGAAGGGGCTTTGAGACGTCGCCGCCGAGCCTGCGCGTTACAGATTGGAGAGGCCGCAGCGCTCTGGTGAGGCCGTGCCCCCGCCCCAGCCGGGTGGAGTCGGGTCATCAAAACAAGGGCCTGTTTCTATCCCACATAAGCACAGGCCTGCTACTGGAGATCGCATAGGAATGGCGACCGTACACACCCCCAGGCAGATCCTTCTTCAATGGAGTCCTGATCATTCACACCAGTGGAGGATCTGCCGGCATGTTTTCAAACCAGATTTGGCCCTTATTAGCTAGCTCCAACTGTGCAACATTACCAACCCCGAGTGTTCAGAACTCACGAGTGAGGGGCCAAAAGATCTTAGGACTGGCTTAAAACCACGAGATTTTACAAAATACTAATGTGGACGTTCTCTTCATTTGCTTTCTCAGGTGGGAGCATTGGGGGAGGGGGTGTCACACTCTCCAGCTTGCCCCAGAAAGTCCCTTTTCGTCATGAAAGGGGAGAGTCTCGGCTAAGAACCTGACCCCCGCGGCTGGGGCTGTAAGAAAAGCACCAAGCGTTGTGAGAGTCGTGAGCGTCCCAGTGCCCGTGTCATAGTGTGTAAGGAGCGGCTTTCGCCTGCCCTCTCTCTTGCTGGACATAGTTGTCATTACCCTCTAATAGCAGTAAAAGTAAAAATAAATACACGATCGACCGAAATGGCCCCCGGACGTACGTTGTCCTCTTGCTGAAGAATTGCTTGTAGTCAATGCCAGAATCATAGCTCTGGAGACTACAGGGCTTTACTTATCCGGAGCAGGCCAGCAATGGAGGCTTTTCTCCCCCTCTCAGGGCAGTTCCACCTCCGTGCCTGCTCAGTCCTTGGTTTCTCTGCAGTGATGACATGAGAGCCGATGAGCCGGTCAATGTCGGTTGTCTGGGAGGCCTGGGTTGTGGACACATCTGTGGAGCAGTGGAGAGAGGGTCGGCTCTCCTGACACAGGACATCAAAGAGCTGTCGGGGATCATGGCTTTTGGTCACTGCAGGCAATGGACATGACAGCCTGGGCAGGGCTAGAACCTCATCCCTCCCCCACACGCAAGCTGGGAGCTAAACAAAGTTACCATTGTGGTTGGCTGGTTCCACATACTTCTACACCTCCATTATTTGTTGTCATATTTAGCGCTCTCTACCCAGGGTCGGGCCCCATTGTGCAAGGGGCTGTATCATGTCCCTGAGCAAAAAACTTACCATCTAGGCAGACGAGTCAGACAAAGGGGGTGAGAAAGGGAGGCTCATTCGCCCCATTTTACAGATGGGAATTGAGGTGTGGAGACACTATAGGCAAAAGGTCCCAAAGCGCCTCAGTGACTTGTAAGAGTGACTCAGGAGCCTAAGTCTCATCACAAGTCCACTCTGTACGTTCCTTCGGAAAAGCTTCCCGGACGTGACTTGTCCAGGATCACACTGCGTCTGTGGCAGAACACTGAACACGCATCTCCGGAGCCCCACTCCCATGCCTTGACCACAAGCCCCTCCTTCGTCTCCTGGGTGGACCCAGAAGTGAAAGTGCCAAAGTTCCAGGGGGAAAAGGCTGTTGTGGTGGGTATTTTTGGCCCATGCATAAAAGCAGGAAGCTCTGGAGAGCTCACAAGCAAGCCTGTTCTAACGAGATGTTCAGTTGTGTTTAGCTGGAGTTTCAGAGAAGCGTCTCGTCAGGTGGGTCCTTATATAACAGAGCCATTCTGTAGCTGTGCATCGTCACTGTCGCTAAAGAACATTTCAGCTAGACGTGCCCTGAGCCCCCAAGTCCAGACCTGGCTTGTTCTTAGCTAGTTCGGCGTGGTTCTAATTCCAGTTTGGGGCTGTGCTCTTCACTGCCTTCAGGGGGAAGTCATTCCCAGCTCCCCGAGCCATCTGCCCCGGCTCTAAGAAGTGTAACAGTTCAAAGCCAGGACATTAGTGAGGCAGATGTTTCTCTTTTCCTTTATTTGTCCCCTCCTCCTTGCCTTTTTGGACCCTGATTGGGTTTAATTCTGGAGCTTGGGAGCCCAGCCTGAGTTAAACATGAACATTTCTCCCTCTTTTTAATTTTAAAAATATTCCTGGAAGGTTCCTCATCCCCCGCCCCAGCCTTCCCAAACAATCCCTCCCTTCGTTTAGACTCTGAGCCTTTCAGCTGCTCTCCCTTCCCCTGATTTTAGGATTGCTGCCCTCTACCTCATGTATGGCCATCCTGCCCTTTCTTCCCCAAGCCTCCGGCAGGCTCCGCTGTCACTTTACAGTGGAGTTAGTGATAACTGGAGTCCAGAGATCAACTCACTACCTTGTGCCACGTAACTGAATAATGCTGTCTGAGTTTGGACAGCCCATGGCCTGAGGGCGCCTGGTGTGTATGAGATGTTGTCTGCCTTGTGAACTATGTTATGGTCACAGCGATTGCAGTTCCAATTCCGTAGTGGTCTATAAGCCAGCTGAAGGCAAGTTCTGTTATTTGTGAATAAATTAAGGAAAACAAAGCCCTTATTGTTGCCTGTTTTATCAGCCGATTCAATAAAGATCAGAATTTGCTTTAAAAACAAGTCATTGGATTCAGCTTTAAAACTGGAATTTTGGTACGTTTTTCTATGTACAAAGGCCCTTCTCCTGCAATCCGCTCCACGCACCAAGACCCTAGTGACCCCTGGAGCCCTATGCAAGTGCTGGGGCCTGCCAGCAAGGATCTCGCTGTGGGATCCCAGAGTCAGAATTGTGGAGAACCATGCCCATCCCAGTGTGGTCTGTGTTTGCTTTGTTTGGCTTTTCGAGCCATGCGCTTGAGGTGCTGGTGATCTGAGCCGCAGCGGCCTCTCCGTCTGGTGTTCGGGGCACTCGTCCATAGTGCTGATTTCATTCAGTGGTTTTCCATGTTGGCTGTACAGATAACTGACACGCTCTGTTTTCTTGCTTTGACAAAGGGAATTCGCTTTGACCCCGAAATTCCACAAACGCTACGACTAGAATTCGCCAAGGCAAACACCAAGATGGCCAAGAGCAAGCTAGTGGGAACCCCGAACCCGAGCACTCCTCTCCCCAGCACTGTACCTCAGTTCATTACCAGGGAGCAATGTAAGTGTTTGGTTTTATGGTCTTCTTAATTAAACAGCGGGTAGAGACGGCCAAGGAGCTGGATCCTGTGGCGCTCTGTGACTTAGACAATCCGAAAGAGGAGAAACGACTGCGTTAGTTTGGTGTCTCTGCAAGGCAATGTTAGACGTGAATGAAGCGCGCCTCCCTCACGCTTGCTGGAAGATGAGGTGGTTTTGTCTATGACCAAGTCCTTTGTTTGTAGACCAGGATCTGGAGGTGATCTTCTGCCTCTGGCAGACTGCTTAGGCAGCAGGTACAACAGAGTGGCCTCTTTCGTTGTTGGTGCTGTTGTTGTCTGGCAGTATAGTTGATACTGGTACTCTCTGGATCGTCCATGCACAGCAGTGGCGTCACTAGCCTGGGACATTTGGGTGGGCCCCGGCTTTGGGTGGGTGGGCAATGACAGGGGCAGGACACAGGGGGACAGGAGGCGTCGGGGGGCCTGCCTCCGCCCCCCTCCAATCCAGATGGCCTTGTGGGGGGGCGATGGATGCTCTGGGCAGGAGTCCCCCGGGGCCCCGCGTGCGCACCCAGCTCCGGGAGGAGACACCGCTCTCCGCCGTGCATGGCTCCCATCCCCATTGCACTGACCAACGCCGGGCCTGGCTCCCCGAGGCAGCAGGCCTACGTTTTTTAATGATCGCCGCCACTGGGTGGGCCGGCTGCCCTCCCGCTGCTGCGGCGTGTGTGCATGCGTGGCGGGCTTGTCAGGCGCTCCACTGCTGTGCCGCCGTGGTCCCAACCCTCTCGTGTGGCATCCTCCACATCTGGGTGGGGCTGGAGCAGAGCCAGGGCTGGGGGGTCGGCCTGGATGCTAAGTGGGTGGGCTGTGGTCCACCCAGGGCCACCCATAGCTACACCTCTGATGCACAGTCACTTCTGGAAGCAGAGACTGAATGTTTACACCTGGCAGTGAACACTGGATGATGTCAATGTCAATGTATACATCTAAGAACAAAGAGAGTAGGCCGTACTTACAGGATTGGGGACTCTATAACCTACGGTCATGGTGGATAATCAGCTGAACCATGAGCTCCGAGTGTGACACTGTGGTCAAAAGGGCTAGTGCAGTCTTTGGATGCAGAAAAAGCGGAATCTCAAGTAGGAGTAGAGAGAGATTATTTTACCTCTGCATTTGGCACTGGTGCGACCGTTGCTGGCATACCGTGTCCAGCTCTGGTGTCCACAATTCAAGAAGGATGCTGATAAATTGGAGAAAAGAAAGAAAGGACACGCAAATGATTAAAGGATTAGAAAACCTGCTTTATAGCAATAGATTCAGGGAGCTCAATCTGTTTACAAAGTGAGGGTTAAGGGGTGACTTGATTATAGTCTATAAGTAACTATATGGGGGACAAGTATTTAATAATAAGCTCAGAGAAAGGCATAGCATGATCCAATGGCTCGAAGTTGGAGCCAGACAAATTCAGACTGGAAATACGATAATTTTTTAACGGTGAGAGTAATTAACCATTGGAACAATTTACCAAGGTTCATGGTGGATTCTCCATCACTGACAATTTTCAAATCAAGGTGGGATGTTTTTCTGAAAGCTCTGACCTGGGAATTATTTTGCAGCAGTTCTCTAGCCTGTGCTATACGGGAGGTCAGACTAGATGATCACTGTGGTTCCTTCTGACCTTGAAATCTATGACTCTGTGTTGAAACCACGTCTGCTCTGATTCTGGTAGCTGGGCACTGGAACAAACCATTCAGTTCGGTAGCATGTCTCCAAGAGTTGCCAACGGTGGATGTTTTAGAGGAGATAGTAGCCAATGGTGGATGTTTCAGAGGAGTTAGTAGCCAATGGTGGATGTTTCAGAGGCGTTAGTAGCCAACGGTGGATGTTTCACAGGGGATTGTAAATCCATCCCTACCCCTTCATGGGGGCAGTCCCTTCCTCGCTCCCTCTGGCTTTTCACGTGTAAGGGCGGCTTTCCCCAGCGTCCTGTGCAGTCACTTAGCCCTGTGCAAATTGAGTGTCACACGCTCTGATGTGGTGACAGCATGTGCCCTCTGCCTCACCTGGACGGGGCACACCAGGGAGTCACATTGAGGAAGATGAACATGCCCGTGAGCTCAGCTGGGCTCCTTGTGCTTGGGTGCCCTGTCCCAATGTTGCCCTGGTGCCTTGCAGTTAGAGCGGGGCCAAGCTATGTTTTTTTTTTTTTAATTTGGAGGGCTGGAGGGAGTTCAAAACAGCTCTCAGAACTTGCTCCAATTCTCAACCCTGAAACAAGCATGTGAACTACCCTGTAGTCATTCTGCAATGAGGCTCCTGTGTGATAGAGGTCTGGACCACACACCAGTTTATTCTGCAGTTACAGTCTGAATGAAAAATAACTTGGGTTTAGTGGCATTATTTGGTGGCCAGGCACATTCTTATCACACCATTTTGTTAGGGGAAGGATAGTGCCATTAGGGAGCTAGAGATGTCAAATAACCATATTTCTTAATCACTGCGCTGCCCTGAGACGAACTCTATCATGTAAATAGCATTGTTTCTATATGACGGATGTCTTTTTACAATTGTACACGTTACCGTCAGAAATATAGTTTGTCTGAATTTCTACAAATAGGCTAGAGTTCACATTGTATTACGTTCTGCATCTCAACAAACCATTTCTCCTCTACAAATTCAGCTGTGAAAGAACAGCAAAGCTAAAAACACCCTGTTTGGATAGTCTCAGTCAAGGTTGCCAGTGAATGTTAGTTCTCTTTAATTAGTAAATCTCATTCTTAATAGTGAAATTAAATCCTAACTCAGACAATACAAGTCACTACAGACAAATACCTACCACATCATGGTAGGGGGTCCACTACAGACCACCCAGTCAGGAGGAGGAGGTGGATGAGGCATTTGTAGAACAAATAACAGAAATAACAAAAACACAAGATGTGGTAGTGATGGGGGACTTTAACTTCCCAGACGTCTGTTGGAAAAGGCGTACAGCAAAACGCAAAATGTCCAGTAAGTCCTTGGAACGTCTTAGGGACAGCTTCTTGTTTATGAAGATGGAGGAAGTAACCAGGAGGACCATTTTAGAATCGATTCTGACTAACGGAGGAATTGGTAACAAAGCTGACGGCAGAAGGCAATTTGGGGGAAAGCGATCATGAAATGAAAGATTTTATGATTCTAAGGAAAGGGGGGGAGGGATAGCTCAGTGGTTTGAGCATTGGCCTGCTAAACCCAGGCTTGTGAGTTCAATCCTTGAGGGAGCCACTTAGGGATCTGGGGCAAAATCAGTACTTGGTCCTGCTAGTGAAGGCAGGGGGCTGGACTCGATGATCTTTCAGGGTCCCTTCCAGTTCTAGGAGATAGGTATATCTCCATATTAAAAAGAAGAAGAAGGAGTGAGAGCAGCAGAATGAGGACAATGGAGTTCAGAAAAGCAGACTTTAACAAACTCAGAGAACTGGTAGGTGAGGTCCCATGGGAAGAAAATCCAAGGGAAAAAGAAATTCAGGAGAGCTCGCAGTTTCTCAAAGAGACAGCATTGAAGGCACAACAGCAAACACTCCCGATGCAAAGGAAAGATAGAAAGAATAGGAAAAGGCCAATATGGCTCCACAGGAGCTCTTTTATGGCCTGAAAATCAAAAAGGAATCCTACAAAAAGTGGAAACATGGCCAAATTGTAAGGATGAGTACAAAAGAATAGCAGAAGTATGTAGGGACAAAATCAGAAAGACTAAAGTGCAAAATGAGTAATAGCTAGCAAAGGACAAAAAAGGCAATGAGAAGAGGTTCTTTCAATAGCTTAGGAGCAAGAGAAAGACAAAGGAAAGCCTAGGTCCTCTGCTTAGTGGGGAAGGAGTGCTAATAACAGAAAGGCTGAGGTATTTAGTGTCAGTTTTGCTTCAGTCGTCACTAAATAAAAAGGTTATTTGTGACCAGATACTTAGCACACTTCATATTAACAACAAGGGGGAAGGAACAGAAGGTAGAATAAAGAAAGAACAGGTTAAAGAATATTTAGATAAGTTAGATGTATTCAAGTCTGCAGGGCCTGATGAAATTCACCCTGCGTTACTTACTGAAGCAACCTCGGAACCATTAGAGATTATCTTCAAGAACTCATGGAAGGCGGGTAAGGTCCTAGAGGATGGGAGAAGGGCAAACCCAGTACAGTAAAAGCTGTTTTATCTGGCACTTCACCAACCGGAAAGCTCTATAAACTGGTATTTCTGATCTTCATTGAAATTCTGGTTTATAGTCTGCTTGGCGCAGGGCCAGCAGGGGTTTGGGATATGGGAGGGGGTGCGGGGTACAGGCTCTGGAAGGGAGTTTGGGTGTGGAAGGGGGCTCGGGGCAGCAGGTTGTGACATGGGAGGGGGTGCAGGGTGTCGGATCTGGGGGGCGCTCACCTTGGGCGGCTCCATGCAGGTGGTGACATGTCCCGGCTGCTCCTAGATGAAGGTGCGGCAGGTGGTTTTGCATATTGCCCCTGCCCCCCCTGAGCACTAGCTCCACAGCTCCCATTGGCTGGGAAGAGCGGCCAATGGGAGTTGCGGGGGGTGGTACCTGCGGGCAGAGGCAGAGCACAGAGCTGCCTGCCGCACCTCTGCCTAGGAGCAGCTGGGACAGGTCGCCGCTTGCAGGGAGCTGCCCAAGGTGAACGCCCCTGGATCCGGCACCCCCCAATCCACTGCCCTGAGCCCTCTCCTGCACCCAAACTCCCCAGAATCTGCACCCTGCACCCCAACCCCCAGCCCCGCACCCCCTCCCGCATCCAAACTCCCTCCCTCTTACCAGCATTTTTCACTTACCAGCACCCCCCATTGCCCCAACATGTTGGATAAAACAGCTTTTACTGTACCTGCCTTTAAAAAGGGGGACAAAGAGAACCCAGTGATTTATAAACCAGTCAGCCTAACTTTGATACCTGGAAAGCTACTGGAACAAATGCTTAAACAATCCATTTCAAGCACCTAGAGGATAATAGGGTTATAAGAAATAGCCAGCATGGATTTGTC